TAAATTGCTCAGATGAAAGAAAGTGAAAGCATAACTTATTTTTTCACCAGGGTTATGAAATTAGTGAATCAAATCAAGGTATGTGGAGAAACATTGACATCAAGATCAGTTGTTGCAAAGATCTTGAGGTTATTGTGTCCAAAGTTCGACCACGTGGTATTATTTATAGAAGAGTCGAAAGATTTATCAACATTGACAAAGGAAGAGCTTCAAAGGAAACTTGAGCCTCATGAAAAAATAATGGTTGAAAGATCTACAATGTGGCTTTGTAACCACAATCAACAAGAGAAAAGAAAGGCAAAGGAAAATGGTTTGATTACAAAGGTAGAAGAGGCTACAACAATTCGATTGGTACAAGAAACCAACAAGAAGGAAATTCGTCGAATCAAAGAAGACCCTCATACCAAAGCAACAACATAGGTGGCGTCGAAGGTAGAGGAAGAGGTGGTAGTCAAAAACCTGACAAAAGTCACATGCAATGTTTTAATTGTCAGAAGTATGGTCATTACTCTAGTGATTGTCCTGAAAAACAAAAGAATCAAGATAATGATGCAAAGTTGGCAAATCATGAAGAAGAAGAGATGTTGTTGGTGGTCACAACAAGAGATGAAGAAAGATTCAAGGACCAATGGTACTTGGACTCAGGATGCTTATCACGCACGGTTGGTAAACAAGATTGGTTTGTCAAGATAAAATCCTCAACGAAGAACATGGTGAAATTTCCAAATCACAATACTCTAGCAGCTAAAGGTATTGGTGATGTTCTGATTATGAGGAAAGATGGAAAAAAGGTCTGTAATTTCCAATGTATTGCATATACCAGGCATGAAAAGTAACTTTCTCAGCATAAAGAAGTTGGTCGAAAAGAACTACAAAGTGTCGGTCAAAGACAAGATGATGAGAGTTCTCACAGGTGAAAGGTTATTATTGAAAGCTCCCATGTCTCATAATAGAACCTTCAAGATTGAACTTAATGTGATGGAGCACAAGTGCCTTGCAACTGCATCTAGAAGGGATGAATGGATATGACACTATAGACTTAGTCATCTCAACTTCAAAGATATCAGAGATCTGAAAAGAAGAAATATGGATTCAGGGTTATCAGAAATCTACATTCCCAATGAAGTGTGTGAGGAATGTGTGCAGGAAAAGCAGCATAAGAACAACTTCAACAAGGGTGCAGGAAGCAAGTCGAAGGCAATCCTTGAAATCACATACTCTTATATATGTGGTTCTATCCAGGTGGATTTGATTGGAAGTAACATATACTTTGTCACATTCATAGAAGATTTCAGTCAAAAATTATGAACTTACCTAATCAAGAAGAAAAGTGAAGTGATTGAGGTATTTTCCAAGTTTAAATCTATGGCCGAAAGAAAAAAATGTTTGAAATCTCAAAATTCTAAGGACTCACGGTGGTATAGAATATGTGTCGAAAGACTTTGACACATTATCTGAGAAAGAAGGGATTATGCATGAGGTGGTGCCATCATACACTACACAACAAAATGGAACTACATAAAGGAAGAAGATAACCATAATGAATATGGTTAGAAGTATATTGAAAGGATATCATTTATCCAAAGAATTATGGGAAGAAGTTGTGTCGACTGCAACATACATACTGAACAGATGTCCAACGAAGAAGCTAGAAGGAATCACACCAGAAGAATGTTGGTCTGGTGTCAAGCCTAGCTTAACTCATATGAATTCATTTAGATCTATAACACATATACATCTGCCTGATCAGTTGAGAAGAAAGCTTAATGACGAGTTGAGTTAAATGAGCCTAAATAGGATATCACTTGATTGGTGGATACAAGTTGTTGGACCTAGTGAATAAGTAAGTAGTGATCATTAAAGACGTGATCATAAATGATCTTAAGAAATGGGATTGGACTTAAAATGTAAAAAAGGATTCAATGATAATCCTATGAGAAGAACCATCAAGTGAAGTTGAAAGAGAAGTTAGATAAGAAGAAGTTAGAGGTGAAGCAAGAACAAGCAGACCCCAAAGAACAAGACACATGCCTGCAAGGTTGAAAGAATGTGTGATTACATCAGATGATGTGCTTAATGATGAAGGTGAACTGGTACATTATGATTTCTATGCAGATGTCGAACCATTCAATGGAGCTGAGCATTGAAGGATTTAAAATGGATGAAAGAAATGAATGAGAAACTGAAGTCTATTGAAGTCAACAACACTTGGTCACTTGTTGAATTGCCTCAAGGAAAGAAAGAAATCGATGTGAAGTGGGTATACAATGTAAAATTGCATCCTATAGGAGAAGTAACTCGACACAGGTCAAGACTTGTAGCAAAGTGATTTCTTCAAAAAGAAGGAATTGACTTCGACAAAGTTTTTCCACCTATTGCTAGGATCGAACAATCAGGGTGGTTGTTGGTCTAACAAACATGAACGACTGACATATGTGTCAGATGGATGTGAAATGTGAAATCTTGAATAACTCCTTAGATGAAGAAGTTTATGTTGCACAACCAATTGGGTTTGTGAAACAAGATGAAGAAAACAAAGTATACATGTTATATAAAGCTTTATATAGACTCAAACAAGCTCCAAGAGCTTGTAATAAGAAGATAACTAACTTTTTAAGGGAGAAAGAATTTGTGAAGTACAAAACTAAGTATGAAGTAAATGTAAGAAAAAGAAATAGTGAACTGATTACACGATGTCTCTATGTCGATGACTTGTTGATAACAGATAGCTGCAAGAAAGAGATTGAAGACTTCAAAGGTGATCTTAGCAAGGAATTCAAAATATCTGATTTGGGAAACATTTCATGCTTCCTTGGCATCGAATTATACAAGAATAGTAGAGACCTGATGAAGCATCAAAGAAGATATACAAGTGAGATACTCAAGAGATTTGAGATGAAAAACTGCAATTCGACTTCCACACCTACAAAACCAAGACTGCAATTGTTGAAAGACTCAGAGGAAGATGATGTCGACCTTACACAATACAAAATACTTATTGGATCATTAAGATACATTTGTCACACAAGGCCTGATCTAGCATACGTTATAGGTACGATGAATAGATTTATACTCAAGATATTTGAAATGAAAAACTACAATTCGACTTCCACACCTACAAAACAAAGACTGCAATTGTTGAAAGACTCAGAGGAAGATGATGTCGACCTTACACAATACAAAATACTTATTGGATCATTAAGATACATTTGTCACACAAGGCCTGATCTAGCATACGTTATAGGTACGATGAATAGATTTATACTCAAGAGATTTGAAATGAAAAACTACAATTCGACTTCCACACCTACAAAACAAAGACTGCAATTGTTGAAAGACTCAGAGGAAGATGATGTCGACCTTACATAATACAAAATACTTATTGGATCATTAAGATACATTTGTCACACAAGGCCTGATCTAGCATACGTTATAGGTATGATGAATAGATTTATACTGAAGCTAAAGGTATCACATCTAGTAGCAACAAATAGGATATTGAGGCATCTGAAAAGAATTCTCGACTATGACATTTTTTTCCTGTATCTAATGAAGAAAAATAATGCAAACTAGTGGCTTACACCGACTCAAGTTGGTACAATGATGATGAGGATAGAAAATCAACAACTGGCTATGTGTTTATGCTAGGTGGTGCATCAATTGCTTGGAACTCAAGAAAAGAACCACTAGTGGAACTGCCATCGTGTGAAGAAGAGTACATAGTTTCCTCTATCTGTGCATGTCAAGCAATATGGATGGTGAATTTGGTCAAAGAAATTACAGCGAAAAATTATTGAGAAATTACCATGAAAATCGACAATATGTATTCTATCAATTTGGCGAAGAATTTGAGAGCACATGGAAGAATCAAGCACATCGATATGAGGTTCCATATCTTCGAGAGCAAGTAGCAAATTAGAAGCTGAACTTGAAACACTGTAGAACTGAGAATCAGATTGCAGACATCATGACAAAAGGAGTGCAGGTCGAAGTGTTCAATAAATAAATAAATATGATGAATGTAGATAGCTTAGACACAATGAATTAGGTTGTGTATTGTGATTGTAATTTCTTGTGTCAAAGCATGTTGTCAAAATGCACACTATGTCGAATTGTAAAGCTGTCGAGATATAGACGAAGTCTGTCTTCGCAGAACTTAAGACATATCTTTGCTTGTTTGTTTTAGCTCAGTTATTTAAGTTAGTTGGAGATTGCTTGGTGAGCAAGCAATTTCAGCCTATAAATAGAGAGTAACCATATTATTGTAAGGTTTGAAAAGTAATGCAATTACATAGTTGAAAAAAATTTCAATTTGAAAAGTAATTCAATTGCATAGTTGAAAAAAATTTCAATTTGAAAAGTAATGCAATTGCATAGTTGAAAAAAATTTCAATGTGAAATTCTTCTTCTTTCCCTTTTCTCTAAAATCCTAATCTTTCTTTCTTCCCCAAATTTTATCTCTTCTTTTTTAATAATCGTTATGTAGCGGAATCATCTTACAAGTAAGGTGTGGTTGATTCACTCAAGTGAAGAGTGAAGAATAAAATGAGTAATCAAACAGAAAAATCGATTCTTATTCATCAAAATTGATTTAGAGTTCTTCATAAATTTGATGTAATTCTAACACGAACATGTTTAATAGATCTTCTCAAAAACTGCTAATAAGGTTGATTTTTTTGACCCCCTGCAATTTTTTTTTTTTTAATTTTATCTCAGTAGGTTTTTATAAAGGAGAAATATAAATAACAAATCTAATCCACTACAATATACAAAGAGTCCGGTATTTATATTAATAAATTATAAAAATAATTTTGACAAATAAGCCATTAATAAGCCATTAATACTTCCCAAGTAAATAAATATTTGTTGTAGCACATGTATGGGTAGCTGAGTTTTGTTTTAATTTTCTTTCCACAAGCCACCGAAAAAGAAAGGCTTGACCATTTTTAGATCATAAAAACACTTTGCTTGGTAAGCTAGAAACTTTCCAACAAATTTCCATGGAGAAAAGAATACATATTGCAGTTGTTGCAGGTGTTGGATATAGCCATTTGGTACCAATTCTCCAATTCTCCAAACTACTTGTTCACCTTCATCCGTACTTTCATGTCACATGTTTCATTCCTACACTTGGTTCTCCACCAACTGCCTCTAAAACAATCCTTCAAACTCTTCCACCATCCATCAACTGCACTTTTCTTCCATCAGTGGATCCCAAGGATCTATCACTCCCACAAGGTTCTGCTTTAGCATTGCAACTTCAGCTCACAGTGAATCACTCATTGCAATCTATACACCAGGCTTTGAAATCATTAACTTTAACGACACGCTTTGTTGCTTTGGTGGTTGATTCATTCGCCGCCGAAGCACTAGATTTGGCAAAGGAATTCAACATGTTGTCCTATGTTTACTTTCCTTCTGGAGTCACCGCTTTGTCCTCGTACTTGTATTGTCTCAAATTGGATAAGGAAACATCATGTGAGTACAGAGATCTGCCAGATGCTATTCAAATACCAGGCTGTGTACCAATTCACGGTGGGGATCTAGTTGATCAAGCTCAAGATAGATCAAGTCAATCTTACAAATTCTTTCTCCAACGCGTTGAAAGATTCCGTCTTTTTGATGGTGTTATTGTTAATAGCTTCCTGGAAATTGAAAAAGGTGCTATAGAAGCAATGACAGAAGAAGGAAGTGAAAACCCTCCTTTGTATGCTGTTGGACCCATTATCCAAATGCAAACAAAGTATGGTGATGATGCTGATAGATTGGAATGTCTGTCATGGTTGAATAAACATCAACCTCGTTCAGTTTTATATGTTTCTTTTGGGAGTGGTGGCACACTTTCACAAGAACAAATTTATGAATTGGCTTTGGGTTTGGAATTGAGTGATCACAAGTTCTTATGGGTGTTAAGAGCGCCGAGTAGTTCGGCAAATTCTGCATATCTTTCACAAAATGATGTTGATCCTTTGCAGTTCTTGCCATCTGGGTTTTTGGAGAGGACTAAGGAAAAAGGTTTGGTCATTCCATCATGGGCGCCCCAGATTCAAATCCTTAGTCACAGTTCAATTAGTGGGTTCTTGACTCACTGCGGTTGGAATTCGACTCTTGAGAGTGTGGTGCACGGTGTGCCACTAATCACATGGCCTCTTTTTGCTGAGCAGAGAACGAATGCGGTTTTTCTGAGTGAAGGCCTGAAAGTGGGATTGAGGCCAAGACTTAATGAGAATGGTATTGTGGATAAAGATCAAATTGCTATGTTGATCAAGTGTCTCATGGAAGGGGAAGAAGGCGGGGAAATGCGCAATAGAGTGAAAGAATTGAAAGAAGCTGCTAATAGTGCACTTAAAGAAGATGGGTCTTCTACAAAGACTCTTTCTCAATTAGCACTCAAGTGGAGAAATTTGGTATAGATAAACAAGTTTTATGACAAATATGCACTATTAAGATCAATATATACCATGCTTGTTCAAATTTAGTTTATCTTCATGCTTCAAATATTTATTGTTTTGGCCAAAATAATTTCATCTATTTTCAGCTACATATAAAGGTAATATGAATAGAGGAAATGTTGAATATTGAATGTAAATACTAAGGGCATTTTGTTGCAGATATTAGATCTCCTTCTAGATTTGTCAACTTGCTGTTAGGCTTGTGATTTTGTATGTTCGAATATGCTCAAGTCCACTCCTATGATGAATTGAAATGAATTTGTGTTGGGGAGTGCAGGAATGAAAGTCAACATTCTCCCCTGCAATCCACACTAGGATCGATTTCCATACCCTAATAGAAACAAATACTTGTCTATTGAATTATTTTGGATTTTCTGCCCGTGTGAGAGGACTGTTGTTGAAACCGTAGTTGCTGGTTATAGCCAATTTTAATTAGTAGGATAGAATTTGGTTGTTATTACAGCAACCAATCCCAATTAATAGGATCCTTCGCTTTCTTCACATTAGATTGTCACACATACTCCTTTAGGTAGTAGTGTAGTACATTTGATAAATATTTTAAGATATAAAAGAAAAAGTAATTATGTTCGGCACGTTCCAGACACATTTTTTCTTCTGTTTGTTTATTATATGCACAATTAAACACTTTTTTTTTTCTGTTTTATTTATTTATTATATGTTCAGTATCTAGAATGATGAATTAATTGAAATTGAAAGATATTGTTTTGTGTTGTTGGTGTTTTTCGAATGGAACGAGAATTTGGTCTCTTCTTCAACATGGAGTATTTTGAAGACAAACCGGAATGAAATTGAGAAGTACCTCAATGGCTTTACTAAAATCAATGAAAATTGTGAGATGTTGGATCGAGTTTTAATATGATCGAAGTATGTTCGCATGCTGTTGTTGGAGTAATGCGTGTTGTAGTCGAAGTTTGTTATAACATGCATTAATCAATATTGATAGGGTTGTTAGCATATTGAATCAGGTCTTACTTGTAAGCCCAATTGTTTAAGTTAACTTGTACCCTAAGTTAGCTTGGAATGAGTAATTGTTAAAAAACCCATTAGGTTAGTGTGTTATTTTTCTTATAAATAGGATGCTAGTTTCTCAATCTTGGCATAAGGAAAAATAGGAAGATAAAATCTTAATTTCAAGTGAGAGGGGTTATTTTCTTATTCTTGTATACTTGTAATCTTGTTCTAAGATAAAAGAAAGAATAACGGTTTATAACCAATCCTTGTTATTCCTTGTTGTTTTACCTTATCTTCTTTGTTAACCCTAACCCTTGTGTGTTTCTTGATCATTAAGAAACCTTTTTATATTTTGATTCAAGACATCCGATTCACAACAAATTAGTGCGGTGAGCGTGGAGAAGATGCCTTCAACAAAGTATGAGATTGAAAAGTTCACTGGAGTGAACGACTTCGGCCTGTGGCGCTTGGAGATGAAAGTCCTACTGGTTCAACAGGGTTGTTTGGAAGCGTTGAAGGGAGAGGCGACCATGGATGCTGCGTTAACGACAAAAGAAAAGACGAGCATGATTGAGAAAGCCCACAACGCAATATTGTTGAGCCTTGGTGATAAGGTTCTTCGACAGGTATCAAAGGAGACTACAACATCGGAGTTATGGGTGAAACTTGAAAGTTTGTACATGACCAAATCTCTGGTGAATTGACTCTATCTGAAGCAAGCTTTGTATTCATTCAAGATTAGTAAAGACAAAGTGTTGGCTGAGTAGTTGAATATGTTTAACAAGTTGATTCTTGATCTTGAAAATATTGATGTGAAGATCGATGATGAAGATCAAGCACTGTTGCTGCTGTGTGCTTTATCCAAAATACATGCTCACCTCAAAGAAACTTTCTTGTATGGAAGGGAGTCCCTGACCTTTGAAGAAGTTCAATCAGCCTTGCATTCTAAGGACTTGAACAAACGAAAGGAGCATAAACCTTCGAAGGTGGGCGATGGTTTGGCCATTAAGGGAAAATTCTTGCGAAATGATAGTAAGTTCAACAAGAAGAAAGGTAAAAGTCAACAGAAATCTTATAGTGGCGAAACATCTGGTATTCGATGTTATCACGGTAAGAAGGAGGGTCACACAAGAAAGGTGTGCCCTGAACGTCTGAAAGATCATGGAGGTAATGACAACACATCTATTGTTCAAGATGACTTCGACTTATCTGATGTTCTTGTGGTTTCAAGTGGCGACTCGAGAAAAGAGTGGATTATGGATTTAGGTTGCACTTGGCACATGACTCCAAAAAGAGAATTGTTCGAGGAGCTATGTGATCAAGATGGTGGATCTATGATGCTAGGAAACAACAAATCTTGCAAAATTGCAGGTATTGGATATGTGAGATTCAAGCTCCATGATGAGTCAATAATGTTATTGACTGAAGTCATGTATGTACCTGACTTGAAGAAAAATTTGATTTCTCTTGGTGAACTCAACAGAAAGGGATATGTTTTTCAAGGAGAGAAAAGTATCCTAAGAGTCATGAAGGGGTCGAAGGAAGTATTGAGAGGCGTGAAGAAACAAGGCTTGTATACCCTTGAGGCTGAGGTTGTAAGTGGTTCGACAAATGTTGCATCCACGAAACCTATGTTGAAGACAAAATTATGGCACATGAGATTAGGCCATGTCTACGAAAAAGGCATGGTCGAATTGGGGAAGCAGAACCTACTAGGAGGTGACAAAGTCGAAAAGTTGGAGTTTTGTGAATCTTGTGTATTTGGTAAATCCTGTAGGGCGAAGTTTAACAAAGACAAGCAAAGAACACATGGATCCCTGGATTACATTCATGCTGATCTTTGGGGGCCTGTGAGGAATCCTTCACACTCAGGTGCAAGGTATTTTCTATCCATCGTTGATGACAATTCCAGAAAGCTATGGGTATTAATTCATAAGACAAAGGACGACACTTTTGAGAATTTCAAAAGTTGGAAGATTCTGGTCGAAACTCAAACTGGTAGAAAGGTTAAGAGATTAAGAACCGACAATGGCCTTGATTTCTGCAACGAAGCATTTGACAGTTATTGTGTTGAGTCTGAGATTGCAAGGCATACGACTGTAGCAGGTACTCCTCAACAAAATGGCTTAGCTGAGAGATTCAATCGAACAATCCTCGAAAGGATTAGATGCATGTTGGTTAGTGCTGGATTGAAGAAGGTGTTTTGGGAGGAAGCTATTTCGACAACAGCTTACCTGATAAATAGATGTCCCTCAATTGCCTTGGGAATCAAGAGACCTGAAGAAGTTTAGCCGGGACGTCCACCTAGTCTCGACAAACTGAGAGTATTTGGTTGTGTGGCCTATGCTCATATTAGGCAAGACAAGGTCGAACCTAGAGCTCTAAAATGCATGTTCATGGGATACCCTGAAGAAGTCAAAGCTTATAGGTTATAGTGCCTAGAGTCAGGTCACAAGAGGTGTGTCACTAGTCAAGATGTAGTCTTCAATGAAGCAGGGATGGCTTTCAAGAAAATTGATGATGTTGATGAAGAGCTGGAACATGGAGAGATTCTTGTTGAGGTGGAGCATGTTGATGCTGAATTGCGTACCCCAGATGAAGTCGAAGAAGACGCGGAAGATGTTGTCGAAGATGAGGAGACTGATAGTGACTACCTGCTAGCAAGAGACAGGTCAAGAAGAGTCATCAAGCCACCTCAGATACTTGGGTATGCAGATCTTATAGCTTATGTCTTAATCTCTGCAAGTGAGGTTCTAGACAAAGAACCTAGAGACTGTAAGGAAGTTATGAGGAGTCGAAAGAAGACTGAATGGATGAAGGCCATGGATGATGAGATGAAATCATGATAACAACACTTAGAAACTGATCAAGAAACCTGCTGGAGCCAGGTTAGTCAGTTGTAAATGGATTTTCAAAGTTAAGGAAGGAATCGAAGGAGTGACATCAAAGAGATACAAGGCAAGATTGGTTTCTAAGGGGTTCACTCAGAAAGAAAGTGTAGACTTCAATGATGTGTTCTCTCCTGTTGTGAAGCACATATCCATTCAAATGTTGCTTGCCACAGTGGCACAATTCAACCTTGAACTGGAACAGATGGATGTGAAGACTGCATTCTTGTATGGTGATTTAGATGAAACAATCCTGATGAGGCAACCTGAAGGGAATGTCGAAAAAGGGAAGGAAGATTATGTGTGCAAGCTGAATAGATTCTTATACGGACTGAAACAATCTCCTCGACAGTGGAATAGGAGATTCCACAGGTTCATGGCACGCATAAGTTTCATCAGAAGTCAGTTCGACCACTATGTTTTGACTGAGTGATTCATTTGTTATTTTGTTGCTCTATGTGGATGATATTCTAATAGCAAGCAACAATGTCGAAGAGGTAATGAGGGTGAAGGCTGGACTCAATAAGGAGTTCGACATGAAGCATCTGGGAGCTGCATCTAGGATTCTTGGGATTGACATCCGAAGAGATAGAAAGTAGTCGAAATTATGCTTATCTCAAGAGGCATACCTACGGAAGGTTCTCGAAACGTTTGGTATGTCGAATTCAAACCCTGTTGTGACTCCGACAAACCTTTAATTCAAGCTGAGTATAAATCAGTGTCCTAGCACTGATGTTGAAAGAACTTATATGAATAGAATTCCATATGCTAACATATTAGGTTCTTTGTAGTATGTTATGGTTTGTACTAGACCTGACATAACATATGCAGTAAGTCTTGTAAGTAGATACATGGAAAATCCTGGAAAGGCTCACTGGCAAGCATTTAAGTGTTATCTAAGGTACATAAATGGGTCTCTGAATAGAGTCCTAATTTATGGAGTCTTGAGTGAAGATAGTAAAGCAACAATTAAAGGATATGTCGACTCTGATTATGCAGGTTGTATGGATTCCAGAAAATCTATTTCTGGATATGTGTTCACTATATTTGGGACAACAATTAGTTGGAAATCAACACTTCATAAGGTTGTTGCCTTATCAA